GAGCTCCGAGGTAGGTGAACCACATATCACTCGACGGAAGTTCGAATGCGCGAGGAATGCTGCTTTTCCCTTACCTGAGCTCATTAAAATCGCGGGCTAGCGCTCACCTACAGAAATATAGAGGAACCTGCACACAATGTCTCCATGGGGCTGCGATTCGAAATCGTCCACGAAACTACGAAGCAACAAATTGGTGGCAACATACTTGATGGTACTAGCGAGGTAATGCTCCAATATAGCTCCCCTTCGGTTCACATTCAAAACATTAGCAATAACAGTTCGTGAAAGTTGTAATCACGAAACGCCAACATAAGAAAATCTGTTACCTGATAAGACTGTGAAAAGTAAGACGTCAGACGCAACCGCTTTCTCCGCTCAATCAACCGAATAAGACTTACTCCGTCCTGCGGCTCATTTGATCTCTCCGGTATCAAAAGCGTCGCTATCATAAACCAGCTTCATGAATACAGTACTAAAACATGTTCCCTACAATTCAAAGGTTTACTACTTCTGAAAAGAGTCACAGTGTACATGACGACCAGTATTTCTTTTTGAATTCACCCCCACCTTGAGCCTTGTTCTCTGACACGAGAAACCAGGTTCAAGCATACGTCACGGTACCCTATAAGGAGGTAGTATGCGACTTGCCGGTATGGGGAACGAGGTCGTGCGTGCAGGTGTCAGTAAAGAGCCATAGTTTCCTTCGTGCATGAAATCTTGTGAAACCAAAAGCAGACGTCTTGAGCTTTCGTGCGATTGGATGCTGATATTCCGAGTACTGGGAGCTGTTATCAGTCTCTTGTTGACCTGTGCGCTCCGCATAGCAGTTGCAGGCAGGGCCCACCATTGTTGCGGAGATCACACTGGGATGGGGGGGTATATGAGAGGGAAGGGGTCAGTAAGCGCAGGTCTCATTCGGAATCGGGAGAGTAGCGGTACTCAGATGCTTACTGGAATGGTGAAAGACTCATTTATCGTTTTTGTTGTGAAGAACACTTGAAGGAGACATGAAGGGAGAATCTATCTGCAAGCTCAGAAAACGAAAACGGCGGTGATCATACGACGACGTGTTGGCTAGGTATCCTTCAATACGTTCAGCGAACAGTCTTCCTGATTCTCCGTTATATGTGCATCCGCAAGCCCGACATTCAGTCTGGTAGATCACACCCGTTTGTGCGCAATCACCGATTTTTCCGTACGGACAAATGACACACTCTTCCAGTATCCACTACTTCTCGAAGAGCCTGTTTCGAACTTACTGCTGCTGGTGTTGTTAGGAATACTCAGTAAGCGAACCATATCTTGCAACTGCGCTCTAGAAAGGCTCCATTGTACTTCAGCACTGACCTTATCGGAGATGTAAGGAAAACACAGTGGCAACTTGTTGTGGCGCTGAGTGGGACGTGTTGTTACTATATGTAACAGGAGTAACAGCAATAAATAAGAGCTGATAGCGGCAAGCGACATGGAAAGCTATTCTGCTATACCGCGGCTACTGCCGTTTGGACTCCAGCAATTTCGGC